AAAAAACTAGTCTCATCGCCTTCCCCGGAAACAAAATTTCACCAAAATACGGAGTGTTAGAAGCCATAAACTATATAAAAAAAAATAAGAGAAAAATAAATAATAAAAAAAATGAACTCAAAAAGAAACAAATTAATCTGGCACCAGTCCCCGGCAACGGCGCCAAAAATTGACAGGTGCCGAACCTGTGCAATAATAATAAATAAATCCTAACTACCACCTGAAACAGTCAGTAATCAATTCCAGTACTGGAGCAGGGACTCTAGGTGTGCAATGGGTTACTTGATTCACCCTGTTCCCGAAGAGTTTGCTTAATCCGATATACCTGAATTAATTATTTAACTGAATTTCCTAACTAGTAGACAGTGGTAAGCAGGGTCGTCTCCTCAGGGACTGGAGAGATATTTGTTTCTTTTCAAATCAAGATTAATGGGGGGTTTTGGTATCAAAAACCAACTGAACAAATTAAATGCAGAAAATAATTAATTAAAAGAAATAACTAAGAGAAACTCTAGTCAAGGGTATACTTCAGAAATGGTTCATGCACTGATCATTGATGCAAAAATAATCCCAACATTTATTAATAGATTGGTTATAGTTGTCATGCACGCGATAAACAACCAACCCTTCCTTAATTTATCGATAGCTAAGGTACGACCGTTAGCTATTTCCCTAACCCAAAAACAATCCTAGGTACGACCGTAGAATTTAATTTCTGGTTTGCATGAAACCTTAGAAAGACCCAATCCTAACTAACAAACACGCTACGAGGGTTTGTTTAAGTTAGATCATATATTCCCCTGATATAAACCCAATTACACCAGTCGCTACTGAGATAGAGATAACGAACAATTACGGATTCAATTACCCCTATTTAGCAAAATAGCCTATATGAATAATTAATTATTACGCACTAACCAATCATACACAAGGCTATGACAATTAAAAGCAGGAAACATATGAATACCAATAAATGGAGGAAACAATTAAAATAAATTCGATTTCACAGTAATTGTTGAACCAAGTCTTCAGTTGTCCCCTTGACTAGAATTGAGAGGTTAGTCCTCCATTAATGGAGAACAACCATGCGAAAAAGCCAAGAAAAGCAAACTAAAACTATGCTAAAAACCTAAACTAAAACTATTGATTGATAAACCTCTCGTACGTTTCTCCCTTTTTGAAGCCAAAAGGAAGTCTAATGCTATCTCTAGTGGTCCCCACACCAAATTCAAAGTCTTGTACGTTTCTTTTCCTAGAGTCCAAATGACTCATGCTTCTTATCCGTGGTCCCCGCACATGTGGACAAAACCTCCAAAGTACTTGTTGTTCCAAGTCTCCCTACGTTGCTTTCTTTGAAAAGCCCAAATGACTAAATGCTTTGCACTAGCTTGTGGTCCCCACCAATTCAAGGACCCAAAGGTTGAAGTCCTTAGAAGTCTGCATTTTTTCATACAAGTCCCTCCTTTTTGGTAATTTTCTGCTTCAATCCCTGAAATTGGGTCCAATACCAAATATAAGTAAATATTAATAATTAAAACAATATTTGGCAAGGATAAAAGGGGAAATTAACAATAAAATACCCAACAATTTACACCCTATCAAATTGTCAAAAACCTCAAGGGAGGTTTCTGAAATTATCCATAAAAACATAACATGAGCAATGGAAAGAGGGAGTAGAAGTTTTAATAATTCAATGATTATTATCTATTTCAAAAAATAAAAGTTCAATTAATTTGAGATCACGAGCTTGATTATTGAGACGCTAAGGAGACTATAACTGTGCGTCTCTATTTTGAACCAAGATGCGAAATAGCTAACCTTAAAAGAAGAGGTGTGTTTCTGTTTAGTGATGATAAAATAAATTCAAGTGGGCAAAGTGCACCTTATCCCTAATTACATTGGAGATTAGTGCTAACTGACCCTTTGCTTTATTTCAATTTGATTGCGAGGAGACAAAAGCAATTTCTTATCACTCTTGGATGGATATTATGAACGTGTTTAGATGGTAGATTATTTGAAATAATTTTTTAAAAAAGAGTACGATGGTATTCTTTTAAATATATATAACATAAAAAATAATATATTATTTGTAACGTGTGTGAGATCTATTAGTGCCCGCGCAAACATTCAATCAGAGAATCAGAGAATCAGAGAACATGAAGGCCCCAGCAACAAAGGCATTTCAAGTGAAAATGCCAACAAGCCACAGCCCTCAAAAGTGGTTTGGAGAAATTTCAAGCTTTTGGGTCCCACATATTTTGTCACAATCTTGTGATTATCATTCAAAAACGCATGGCCACCTGAAAAACGAAGGGAGTATTTTAATTGAGTCAAGTCCATATTACTTGCCATTTGTTAATTGGTGTGTATTTATATCATTAGCTGTTAGTAATTGTTCTTTTGTACAAAATTTTCCCTCTAGTGATTAATCCTTTTTGTTCATTATAAAAATTCAATAGGACTATTTTGCACTATTGAGTTTGTGGGGGGAAATAATCAGTGATGATTTTGCAGTAATCTATTATGAAAGTAAAAAAACCTTTCAAAAGTTTTTAATGTTGAAAAGAACTACGTGTTTTAATTTTAAAATAACAAAATGCAATACAAGGTACCAAAATTCTATGGAGAAATCATCATTATATTTAAGTATACATGCAAAACTGGTGGAAATTAAAATAATACTCCCTCGGCTTCAAATTATTTGTCTCATTTCAGGATTCAAATTTTTTAAAGAATAGTAAGTAATTTGACGGTGATTTTAGTGGATTTGTTTTCAAAATTATCCTCGAAAATTCAAAATTTTAAACTTGGATTTAGTGCCAAATATTGATTAATGTGAAAATAACATTGAAAAAAGAAAGAGATTAAAAGTAAATTTGAGTTTAATAAAATAATAAATATTTTAAGACATTTTAAAATAAAAAAGTAAATCGGGAAGGAGTGAAAAAAATAAAACGAATAAGAGAGAAACTACAAGACGATGAGTTAGACGTTAAGCCAATTTGCTCTCTTACTGCATTGTGATAAGGAGGAATCAGAGAGCCAATAAGAAATGTGACCGAAGAGTCAAGTTGCAGGCTGGCTCACACATGCAATTGTCGGCAACTTCCTTTGATAACAGGACAGCTTTTATGTGTCTTTAGAGTGGCGCTGTGGTCCATTGTGTCTTTAGAGTCTAAAGCTGTGTCTTTAGAGTGTGCAGTGGAGCCCGGCATATTGCAAAGGCGGACAATTTTCAAAGTCGACTTGCAAATTTCATTCCCTATGATAGCTGCTGAAGTTGAACCTTTCATTCCACTTCAAATTATTTGTTTCATTTCAAGATTAAATTTTTTTTAAAATATTAAATAACTTGACGGTGATGTTAGTGAATTTGTTTCTAAAATTATCTTCAAAAATTCAAAAATTTGAAACTTGAATTTAGTGTCAAATATTGATTAATGTGAAAATAAGATGGAAAAAAAAGAGATTAAAAGTAAATTTGAGTTTAATAAAATAATAAATATTTTAAGTCATTTTAAAATAAAAAAGTAAATCGAGAAGGAGGAAAAAATAAACGAATAAAAGAGAAACTAGAAGATGATGAGTTAGACGTTAATTAAGCCAGTAAGAAACAGTGACGAGTTAGACCTGCTTTATTGCACCGTGATAAGAAGGAATCAGAGTGCCTTCTTTATGTCTTAGCTGCAAGTTGAAGGTTGGCTATATGCTGCAGATGCGACAATTTGTCGGCAAGAAGCTGTGGCTACGAATTGTCGGCAACTTCCAGGAAGTCACGGTAAAGCGGTAAAAGAAAAGTTCGTTGGTGGCGTCTTTGGAGTGTAGCTTTGCAGAGTGAAGCCGGGGGGCAAATTGCAAAAAGTGGAAACATTTGGAAGTGCAAAAAGTTGTGTGGAAAAATTTTCAGTCCCGCAAGTTTTAGCCTCCACAGATTTTGCTGCCCTTAGTTGCCAAAGTTGAACCATATCCTTCCTTGACTCATCGCAGAAAGCATTCCCCCATCACCATTGCAGAACACCTTCATCCTAATTCCAATCCCAAGCGAGAAAAAATGGCTGATGCTGCTGTTAGTGCTACTATTCAGGTTGCATTGCAGGCGGTTGTTTCCCTTGCCGGTGATCATGTTAATCTGGTTCGTGAATTCCCAACGGAGCTGGAGAGACTCAACAAATCTGCTGAAATGATTCGAGGCTTCTTGGCTGGTGCCGACGAGCAAATGCATAGCCCAGTGGTGCAAAATTGGCTCAAGCAGCTGGAAGAAGAGGTTTTCAAAGCTGACAATGTGCTGGACGAGCTCAACTATGAAAATCTTCGTCGGAAGGTGAAGTATCAAAATCAACTCACGAAAAAGAAGGTATTCTTCTGCTTTTCATTCTTTAATAAAATTGGTTTTCGTTGGAGGTTGGGTTCAATGATCAGGGAGATCAACGCGAACCTTCAAAGGATCCATCAGGATGCCGAAGGTTTGGGACTGGCCTACAAGCACCAAGTTGAAGAAGCATTCCCTACTATTGCTGCTGGATCCACAACAAGCAGACAGACCGACTCTAAGATTGTTCGAAGTGATGTCCTAGGAAGAGACGAGGATGAATCAAAAATAGTTAAGAAGTTGTTGAGCGAATCTGAAAGTGATAGTATTTCAGTTATTTCCATAACTGGCATGGGTGGTTTAGGCAAAACAACTCTGGCTAAAGCCGTTTTCAACACTCCACAGTTTGATAATCATTTTGACAAAAAAATTTGGGTTTGTGTGGCTGAAAAAGTAGATAGAATCGAGGTGGTCTTCAAAATGATTCTAGAATCGTCAACAGGAAGAAAGGCTGAAGTGGATAATAGGCAAGTAATAGTTGACGGAATTGAAACTGAACTTAAGGAAAAAAGATATTTGCTTGTTCTTGACGATTTGTGGAATGATCAAGAAGGATTGTTGGATGACTTTTTCACCACATTGAAGGCACTCAAACCGAAGAAAGGGAGCTGGTGTCTGGTTACCACTCGTCTGCAAGAAGTGGCAATTGTTCTGTCTAGACATCCGCAGATCAATTTTACTCGCCATGAGCTGGGAAAGCTATGCGATAATGATTGCTGGTCCATCATTAATAAATGGGTAAATGTAGGGGAAGAAGTACCAAAAGACAAAAAGGAGCGAGTTTTAAGAAGATGTGATGGTCTACCTCTGGCAGCAAAGTTAATTGGAGGATTGTTATCTAAAAAGAGAAAAGAGGAGTGGCTATCTATTTTGGAGGAGAGCCTCTTGAATCGAGGTCAGGGTGGGATCGAGCAAATAGTTAAGGTGAGTTTTGATCATCTGTCACCTGCACCGGTTAAGAAATGCTTTGCATATTGCTCAATTTTTCACCAAGATACTGAATTGGAACAAGATCCACTAGTTGAGCTTTGGATGGCTGAAGGCTTTCTTCAACCGGATTCCCAAAATGAAAGAACGATGGAGAAAATAGGATGCGAGTATTTGAGAATTTTGCTGCAAACTTCCTTATTGGAAGAAGTAAAAGAGGAGAGGAGAACATGGTATAAAATGCATGACCTTGTGCATGATTTTGCAAAATCAATTTTGAATCGTAGCAGCAGCAATCAGGACCGTTACCTTGCGGCATCTGAAAGAATGGTAGAAAACATCAACGAAAAATCATCAGCATCACTTCGCACATTATTTCTGGAGGGTGGCATAGCTGATGAAACGTTATCAAAGTTCAAATACTTGCACGTCCTAAAATTGTTTGGAGCAGATGCCAAAAAGCTGCCGAAATCCGTTGGCAAACTAATACATTTACACTTACTTGATATTTCAGGTTCCAGGATCAGAACTTTGCCAGAATCTCTTTGCAAACTTTATAGTTTGCAAACACTGAGAATTGACAGGCTTGAAAAAGGTTTTCCAAAGGAGATGAGCAATTTGATTAGCATGAGACATCTTCACTATTTTGATTATGATAAAGGACTCGAAATCCAAATGCCATCCAGGATTGGACAATTGACTTGTCTTCAAACGCTAGAGTTCTTTAACATAGGTCGTCAAGAGGAAGGTCGTGGTATCCAAGAACTTGGAACCTTGCAAGATCTTAAAGGCTCCTTGGAGATCAGAAATCTTGAATTAGTAAATGGCAAAGATGATGCTGAACTGGCGAAGCTATCTAAAAAGCCAAATCTGCATCGGTTGGTATATGAGTGGCGCAATAGGTATTGGGGAAGTGATAATTGTGATGAAGATGTGTTGGAAGGCCTCCAACCTCACCCAAATTTAAAAGAGTTACAAATTTTGAAGTTCATGGGTGATCGGTTTCCACAATGGTTCATGAATTTGACATTGACATCACTAGTGGAGTTGCGTGTGGCGGATTGCACAAGATGCAGAGAACTCCCTGCGCTAGGACAGCTGCCATTCCTCCAGCGCCTCTATTTGACTGGATTGGAAAACATAAGAGGCATTGGGCTTTCATTCTACAATATAAGTGCTGAGGAGGACGGCGGATCAGAAGGTTCAAGCAGACAAACATTCTTTCCAGCCCTTAAAAAACTCTCTCTTGAAAGCATGAAAAATTTGGAAGAGTGGAAGGACGCACACGAAATGATGTCAACCGCAGGTGAAGTACATGTGATGGATGTGTTTCCCGTGCTGGAAAAGTTGTCTATCAGTGATTGCCCCCAGCTGACCACCATTCCAACTCCAAGTCACTTCCCGAGTCTTGATGTATCGGAAATCAAAAGGAATTGCCATGTTTTGCTGGCAGAAAAGGTTTTGAGCAATATAGCCAATCTCTCGTCCCTTACATTAAGTGGTAGTTTTCGTCAACGCTTCGAGTCTCTAAAATTAGTGAAACGATCAGAGAGCAGCTTGAGTATTTATGGCTGTGACAGTCTACCCACTGATATGCTTGAGCGACTGTGTCTTTTTCCAACTCTTCAGCATGTAGAATTGATGGATGCCGCTAATGTAACAACATTAAGAGGAATGAGTTGCTCCGCTTGTCTTGAGAGATTGACAGTCATTCGTTGTTACAATTTATGGGAGTTTCCAGAACATTTTTATCAATTTCAAGCTTTAGAGTACTTGATGATATGGGGTTGCCCGAGAATTAATTCATTTGGGTATCCAAATCCTAAAAATTCATTTGGACAGAAAGGCCTCCTTAAGTCTCTTGAGCGATTTACTGTCGGTAGGTGCGATGCATTAACAAGATTACCAGTGGAGATGTTCGAGTCGTGTACGTCTCTCCGAGAGCTGAATTTGTCCTATTGCCGTAGTCTGGTCTCCTTTTCCCTTGATTTGCGACGAACCCCTTCTCTCGAGAGCTTCTCATTATATGGGTGTTCCGACTTGATTACTGAGATGCCTAGTGGATTTGGCTATCTTACCGGCTTAAGGAAAGTGAAGATTGGGCCCTTCTCAGATGACTCTGCAATCGAATTTGATTGGGCTGGATTAGCATCTTCATCATCACTGCAACACGTGTCTTTGCAGGGAATGCGTGACACGAAATCTCTGCCACATCAGCTTCAAGACTTGACTACCATCACATCACTATCTCTAAAACGCTTCAACGCAATCGAAGCCTTACCAGATTGGCTTGGGAACCTTGCGTCTCTTGAAGAGCTAATCCTCCGTAGATGCCCAAAGCTTGAATATTTACCCTCCGTAGATGCCATGGAACGCCTCAAATTAAGACGTCTGGTAATTCGTAGTTGTCCTCTATTAAAACCAAGATGCACTCCTGAAAGCGGCTCCGAGTGGTCCAAGATCTCTAATATTCCAGAGCGTGAAATTGATCTCGTAAGATTTCGTCTCAAAATTTTAATTAATTGCTTCTCATTATTGGATCATCTTATTCTACCCGTATTTGTCCCTCACTCTTTTTCTCCATAAATATCTATTCCTCTACTTCTTCTGGCAAAAGATTACTCTCTCTTTCAATTTTTAAGCTGATTCATGTCATTAACAAAGTAGAGTTACGAGCAAATTGAAAGATAAAAAAATTCTGGATTTCATCTGCTTTTCTGAACCATCAAAAGGATGAATAAGCATGGTAAAATTTACTACTATATTCTTTTCTGAACCATCATAAGTATGTTCTTTTCTTTTTTTTGTCATTGATATTTCCAAACAACATTAAAACCAATGAAATAGCAATTTGGCGAGGAACATTACATTTCTTATAGTTCACTGCCTATCTCTTTAACGGGAACGTCTTAATAGCATCTCTTGCCTCTGAATTTGATTGCCGTAAAATTAGCTCAATGTCGATTCAGTTGAAATTGTTTGCAGAGGAATTTTTAAATTCTTATCATCTTTTAAAATTTTTAAAATTCAGATACTATAAGTAGCTACTTTTCTATTTTGTGAATTGGATTGATAATATTATGGCCTTGCAGGACACAAGTGACAGTGAAGCAGCTTATGAAACATTGTGAAAGGCTCGAAAGTGTGCTACTTTTCTATTTTGTGAATTGGATTGACAATATTATGGCCACAAGGGGAATTGGTCCAAGTGTAATTGGGCCTAAATGCAGGGTGGTATCTGCACTAGTAAGTGTTCTTTGTGGCTTAATCGATGAAATTTAGCTTAATTTTTGCTCTTTAGGATGTAATTGGGCCTAACTGTGATGTCATATTGTTATTTTTTTTTCCAGAATTTGTTTAGGAAGTAGAGATTATGCTCTTTGGACAAAGAACACCAAGGTTCCCGAGTTGTTCTTATGAGAATGTCAAGAGGGAGGAGTTATCTTCACTTATCAGTCAGGTTTTGAAGATGGAAGGTAGTTATCTGTGATTTTTCCCACCAGAATGCCATATGTTGCTCAGAATGTGGAAATGAAGGTAAAAAATGTTGACTGCATGTCTATTGGCCTGTTTCAATGGCTTTTTTTTTTATATATCTATTTTCTGGAAGTGTTTAACAAAATAAATCAAATACTGAACCTTTTCTCCTTGTAGCATGCTGAAAACAGAGTGGCTTGTGCCAGGCTTGTAGAAAGTAGTATGGATTGAGAAGAATTAGAGGGGAGCAAACTGGACGTGCTACCAAGGTACAAGACTTGCTTGAAGAAAACTGGACGTGCTAATACTTTAGTTCCAGAGGTGACAAGATTTGATGGAAAGAAGTTAGACATTGTAGACAGCATTGGTGATCATTTGGACGACATAAACGAAGCATGCGATTGCAGTGTCAGTCGTTCATTTGGATGGAATCAATTCAAAGTTTTGGTGCTGCAATTGCAGCGGCAAAAATTTATACCTTCCCACTCAAGAACAAGAGGGACTCATTATGCAACTGTGCTGACAGTTAGTCATTCCAGGTACCAGGCTCAGTGTTGAATTTGTTTTAGTAAAATAACGTACCCTAAGCACCTTCTTGGTTCTTAACTAACTAAATTATTTTGACATGTCTACTTCAAGATAAATAGTCACAATCCAAAAAATTGCAGTTTGAATGATCAATAAACAGGTTTTGTTATTGTAGCATTCTATCTGTTATGTTTTAGCCAAGAAAGACTAGCAAATCTAAAAATAATTTATAACTATTAAGAAACCACTTGGAATATGTTACATTTCAGAAGACTAATGAAGGTGGGAGATCAATGATAAATGTTTCACGTGAAGTTCTCCAACATGGTTTCACCTAATTAGAGGTACTCTACCATAAAGTATCTGCTTGTTAGGTTAAATGAGCATGTTTCAGCATGCCCATTCAATGGAAGTTGATAAATTACTCTTAAGAATTCAAGGAAGAAGGAAACAACTTCCCAACACTGAAAGGATATTGACATCCATTACCCATTTCTTTCTGAAAACGGTTATCCTTTTCTGATTTTTGTTTGTCCCAAAGATTTTAGTCTGTCAGGAGAAATCAGTCAGCTAAAAGAAGTTAATAAGAGAATTTATGAATGCTAGTACATGAATATAAATTTTGCATTTTTGTTCTTCAGATTAGTTTGCCAAACTCCAGTTTAGAACGTCATTTTAGAAAGAGACGAAAGATTATCATCTTACTCTTCCTTTAACATTTAGTTAAACATTTAGCTTTGATAATCACTTTATTTTCAGAAAGAATCACAAGGACAATTTATGCAAATTCGATTGACTTTTGCTACCATTACTTCCTTCTGGGTTTGTAACATGCAAATTGTCTCATGGGCTATGTTGGAACATGCAGAAAGCAGTGGTTTCCAAGCAAAAATGTATGGATGGTGATGTGGTAGACAATTGTTCTCTTAAGGAGTGAAGATCAATCTTCTGGGAAGCAATATGTGACAGAGTAGATGAAGAGGTATGTAGTCTCAATGAATTAAATTTGAAGGCCTACAATGTTTCTGTTGCTGTTGCCTTAACTTCAAATCAATCACATACAAAAGCTATGCTCTGAATTTAGTATGCGTTTTTTATGGCTGAATCGATGTAATTCTGCTTAATATTTGCTCTTTAGAAATTTTTGTAATACATTCTTCATAAGTTTTGATGGTTCAACATGGCTAACATGGTGGTGTTTTTTTCCTGAATCTATTTAGGAAGCAGACATCATCTCGTTGGAAAAAGAACAACATGGTTCCCTGTCGTTTTGTGAGAATGTCAAAAGGAAGAAATTACTGTCACTCGGCAGGCAAGTTTCGCAGATGAAGATGGTCATCAATTATAGTTATTTTGCTCATTAATTTGCACTAGCATTGATGGAGGCTTCTCAAACATCATGTAGAAAAACTGAAAGTGTTATGGTTCTGTAGTGCTCGGAATGCAGAAATGAAGGTAATGATTTGGCTAAACTTTTTGTTAGCCTGTTTCGATTTTTTTTTTTCTTTATCTATCTTCTGGAAATGTAATTTGGTTAAGAAGAAGAGAAGATTTGATGATGGAAGCTAGATGTTGAAGATAGCAGTAACAGTCATTGGGAAAGCAAAAGCAAAGCATGTAGTGGGATGGCAGAAATTCAAAGATTATGTGCTGCAAGAATATGTATTCACATGCAAGGGTTTCTAAGCCCTCGTTCAAAGGTTCAAGGAAGCACTGCCGCTAGATCATGCAATGTCTTTCACAATTGGACAATGGACTATACATTTCCACCCAAAAATAAGAGAGATTCATGATGCGCTTCTGCTAACAGTTGATTATTCCAGGTGTTGAATTTGTCAAGGTAAACTAACATACATTTACCATAACACCTTGTTGGGTTTTAACTTATTTTTTTTATTTGAATAGTAGAATGTTAGAAATTTTTAACTTAAATAAGCAATAAACAAGTGCTTTTCAAGAATTTTTCAATCTTGCATGCACAGTCTGTCAATCTCTATCATATGCCAAGCATGTTCATGTTTTGCTTTTGAAGTCAATTTAGTTCTCTAATCAGTATAGTGCTTGTGATAATCTGGTCCACAAGCCAATTTAGTCCTTGGATGTTTAATTGCATCTCTAGTTCTTGTACATCAATACTCTTTTGCTCCGGTTCGTGTATTGCTCAGGTCCACACCTTGCAAATTGTATCTGTTGACGTCATCGTCATTTGACCAAATCTAGTTCGCTTTATCTAGTTCATCAGTACTATACTGTTATTTGTCCACTCCTTTGTGTATATTTTTGGTTATTTGTCATCTCCAATGGCTCAAGATGATGTTTCTCAACCTATTTATATTTTCTCCGTGATCGTAAACTTTGGAAATATATCACTGGTGATATCACTATCCTTGTTGCTGTTGAAGGAGAATCTTCTAAAAAATTTAACACTCGTTTCAAAGAATGGGACAGTGATAATCATAAAATTATCACTTGACTTACCAATACCTCTGTGCCTGCCATTAATCGCCTTTTTCAGCGATTTGATATTGCAAAGGTAGTTTGGGACTTCTTAACTGATCGTTACACTGCTATCGATCTCTCTCGATAGTACCAACTTTTCCTTCGATTGCAAGCCATGAAACAACAGTTTGGTCAATCTGTTTAGGATATCTACTTCGACATGGTCTGTTTTTGGGATGAGATTGCTGAATCAGAACCCTGCTGGAACTACCCCAATAAAGCAAAAAAATTCTATACCTACCGTGATTCTCATTGCGTTATTTTGTTTCTTATGGCCTTACTTGACGAGTTTGACTCCACTCGGACTGCTATTCTCAATAGAAAGCCATTGCCTTCCTTTATGCTGTTCTTAAGAACTTGATATGTGAAGAGATTCGAAGGCATATCAAGTCCAACATGGTATGTCTTAAGAACTTGAACCCAGAATTTGAAAAGTAGTGATAATTACAAGTCTAATTTTAAAAAATAAAAAATATATATATTAAAAATTAAAATAGTAGAAATTATTGAAAGTTATTGAAATTTAACTTGGTAGGAGATGTATTTTTGGATGAGAGGAGGAGAAACGATGTTTCCTTTTAGCTATGACTGATTAGGTTAATAACTCAAGGATCCCATACTCGTAGTTTTCTAGCACACTGGCAACCTCCTTCATAGGGCTTCATCAAAGTTAATTTTGATGGAGCAGTTTTCAAAGAGTTGAATGCTGTAGGTTTGGATGTTGTCATTCACGATCACTTGGGTGTATTTCTTGTGGGTTCTTCTAGTTGATTCCTGGTTATAGCTGTCCAGTTATCGCGAAGGCACTTGCATGTAAAGAAGCCTTTTCATTTGTTGCTGGTATTAGGAGTTCTCGAGTACTTCTTGAAGGTGATTGTAGCTCAATTATTCAAGCAGTATTATCTGAGTATAATCTGATTCCAAGGACCTTTCTTCTGCTAGTGTAATCTGATTACTGATGAATCAATTTCAAGAATTGAAATTGCTGTTGATACATAGAACTTGTAATCAATCAAATCATGTTTTTAATAAAACAAGCTAGATTGGTAGGAAATTCTAATTGGAATTTTCCTTCTCATTTTTTGTATCCTGCCTTAATGGCAGTCTGCTTCAATTAATGAAATCTTTGCGCTTTTTATATATTAAAAAAAGAAAGGTAACTCAAGAGTTAAATTTAATTAAGAGTGTTATTGTGATAGTTTAAAAAAGATGCGTATCAACACATTAAAATGTGTAACATAGCACCAAAAGACCCTAGAAATGGCAGCAAGACAGCTTTTCTATGTTCCCTCACCCTACCCCACTCCCCTCATAGATGCCCATGGGTGAAAATATGTTTAATTGCCTGAATCCAACAGTTCAATTCGTATAATTTTGTTTGGATCCCTTGTTTTTGAGCCTGTTTTTGAAAAACTGTTTTTCACATTCCAAATGCTACAGTAAATGTGTTTTTCCAAAACACTTCCAAAAACACCATATCCAAACATTATATCAAAAACAACTACATATGTATATTTCAATTTGTATATTTTAATTATGTATATTATATATATATTATATTAATATAAATTGAAATATACAAATTGAAAATTATATATATATATTTTATTATATAAATATTTATATACATTAATATTATACATAATATTGTATATTATACATAATATAATATAATATACATAATATGTAATATTGTATACATAAATGTGCAAATATTTATACATAATATTATGTACATTATATTATAATATATATTATTAATGTATAATATTATTATGTATATTATTGTGTATAATAATGTTATATATAATATATAATATACATAAATGTGTAATAATGTAATAATGTATATTATGTATATTATATTATATTATTATATTATATTATATATATACAATATTATGTATATTATACAAATTAAAAATTATATATTATATAAATATTTATATAATGAAATATACAATAAATATTACAAATTGAAATATTATATAAACACCATATGTATAATATTATAATATTTATAATTAATATTATTGTATATTATATATATATTAAATATTTATATATTTATTTATACATATTATAAATATGTTATTTTATTAAAAAATATTTTTATATATTTATAATATATTTATATGAATATTATATATTATATATATTATATATAATATAATATGTAATATATATTATAATATGTAATATATATTATATATATATTATACATTTATATAAATGTACATTTATACATAATATATATTAATGTGTATTTATAATATACATTTATATTATGTATTATATATATTTTATACATTTATATTAATATACATAATATTATTTTACATTTACACATAATGTTAATACATTTGTACATTTATATTAATTATATTAATACATTTATACATAATATTAATATATATTAATAAAATTATAATTTATAAATTTGTATAATATTCATTTGTAATTTATACATTTATAATAATATACACTTATACATTTATAAATATATTTATATCATGTATTATATATATTATAATACATTTATATATTCTTATATAAATACATAAATATATTTATTCATAAATATTTATAAATGTATTATAAATGCATAAATGTATATTTATATAAAAATATAAAAATATAAAAATTATAATTTATAATTTATAAATTTATATAATATTCATTTATAATTTATACATTTACAATAATATACACTTATACATTTATAAATATATTTATATTATGTATTATATATAATATAATACATTTATATATTTTTTAGCGAATATATAAATATATTTATTTATTAATATTTATAAATGTATTATAAATGCATAAATGTATATAAAAATAAAAATTATAAATTATAAATTATAAAAATATCCAAAAATATGTTTTAAAAATACCTCTAAAAATAATTCAAAAAACATTTATAGTAAAAGTTTTTCATATAGTTTTTGAAAAACAACCCCAAAAACAACTAATCCAAACAGACTTGTATTTCAAAAACGAAATGCTACGGTGCTGTTTTTGAAAAATAACCCCAAAAACAGCTAATCCAAACGGAGCCAATAGTTCAACTTCAACGCCACTCACCCTGAATTTACTAATATTGCCACTACATGTGCTACTGATAGTCTATAACAAATGTGTCATTACTGTCTAAAAAGTATGAATCATTATTGTATACAAAGTATGAATCTTAATATTAGGGAGTGTAAGTGTAAATACTTTTTTATCTTAGTTTTTGTTATCTCTAAATTATCCTTATGCCTTTTAATTAGAATTGTTGCATTTTAATGTGGCATTAATTAAAAGAAATAAAACACTTCAATTGATTACATCTTAATAGTATTGATAATTATAATTAAAAATTGCTCATTAAAAACTATTTACCTATTCTTGGACTCCATCTCCAATTATTATACGTATCAAAATTTCTTAATTGAAGCATGAAAAATTTCTCATTAGTAAGTAGTTGAGATTGTAAAAAATAAAAAATAAATTTCAAAAAATAGATACTCTCTTAAAAATAGAGAAATATACAAGGAGAAGAGAACCCTATTTATATGTATATCTTCATACAAATATCACGAGTATTTACAATTATCCACTTTTTAGCAATATGAAAAATTTTTCATGTTGCACCCAATGAAATTTCAATATACAAAAAATGACGATATCTTTATAACTGAAATAGCAGTATTAAACTAGAAAAAAGAAATCTGAAAAAGCACATACAAACCACTATTATGAAATAAAAAGATTTAAAATTAAGTAAATTTCATTTATGGGTGACAATTGTAATTAGACAGATTTAGTGCATTCCAATAATTGATAATAATGATAGCGGTTATGAATTAAAAGTTGGCAATTAAAAAATAAAACACTGCAATATACAAAAAAAAACTAAATATTAAAATTGTTAATTAGCCACAATTCTCATTCCAATTCCATGATCATAAAAAAAAAAAACTGATACCAGAAACCAAAAATATTGTGCTCATATGAAAAAAGTAGTCTTTTGCTCTTGCTTCGCATTGGATGTTTTGCTAAAAATATGAATAAAAGAAAAGAAAAATAGAAAAGTTCCAACTATCTCTATCTATAAAATTTTAATTGTCAGAGAGTACAAACGAAAAAAACTTTACCTGGTAGATCATTTATACTCCATTATTGACAAAAATAAAATTAACATAATACAAAAGAATTCAAATTACATGTATGTTTATTTTTCTAACTTAATTATATTCTTTGTTTATAAAAAATTGTGATGATTGTGGTTTATATGCAATAGAATCATGAATATACAATAATTTGGGTAAAACATGATATTATCAATATTTGATATGTTAGAGTTCAAGCTATAAATCAAAAAGTGTTTGCTTCATGATTCCAAATTCAATCTAAGGGACATGTCAACTACATTAAAATGTTTTCTGTCTCTTTTCATTTAATAAAATTTTTAAAAGTAACTAGTTTAAAAAAAAAATAACTTAAAAAATATATTATGATTATGATGTTGATGATCAAAATTTTATAAAAAAATTTTAGTATCTAAAGAATAATATATTTTAAAATATTACAATCACGTGCAAAGCACGTGAACTATTACTAGTATGACTAAAAGAAAAGATAAAGATAACATCTAGTTTGTTTTTAACTATAAGCAAATAGAAAACATCAGAGCTGCGGATAATTCATGTTCTTATGCTTCAATTTAAGCATGATTGGCTTCTAATAGTGTACAAAATAAGTTAAACTCAATTTCCATATGCACCATCTTTGTCTCAAATCTAGTACAGTTAT